TGAAGTTATCTCACTAGCTCCTAATTCAACCACATTTCTGGGGAGTGGACATCTGTTGGTTATTTTAATTTAGCTTTACAAAAATATTTCCTCTGAAAACCAAGGCTTTAAAAATTTTTTTTAAATGTTTGGCTCATCAGGGAAAAAATGCTTTTGGATAACTGGTACCATTATTTATGGTTGGAAAAACAACAGTGTTTGATTATACAGAGCTTCTAACTTTTCCTTTGATTAATGAAAATCTTCTTGGCAAGTACTTTTTATTATGCTCTGTTTTTACTAGGTCCAAAAGAGTCTACTCTCTGGACTCAATGTGAATACTTTCAGATATCTCTTGTAATTATGTTGAATATGTAATCTCAGGGTGCATCCATTTGGAAATACTTAGTAGTCAATTGACGTATTGAAAATGGAACTCAATCAAGGTAGCTGAGTTTCTGATTTCCAAGATGCAGTGGCATTGTGTGTGTCTGTGTGTGTGCCTGTGTGTGTTTTTATATGTACGTGTGATCTCTCGGGCTCCTTGGCACCCTTTCCCTGCCATGATTCTCTTCCTTAGCCTCATGTGTGCTTCATGGTTGTTATACATTGTCACAAGACATCCCTTCATTTTCACTCAAGCTTCTGCTTTACTCCTTGCCAGAGACTCTATAGCTCTCTGTAAGGCTGAAGGGTATTTAATCTTTTACTGTGTAGCTTGGTAAGTTAGTCAACTTCTTATCTGAGTCTTAAGAGAAAGTCCCCAAGATGAGAAATTGTAAAGGTTTGGTGACAATTCAATGGGAAAGGATGAGAATTTTACAGGGAAGGGAATATTTTAGCAATTCTGCTAAAGAGTTAGTTAAACCTTCACTTATAACACAAGGCTAAGGGTTCTGTTAGGGTTTATGAAATAACCTGTTAGGAAGGCAGAACCTGAAGACATTTGCGTGTGAAAATGAGAGTTGTTAAATTGGGTTCTGTGATATTAGGGAAAAACAAAGGGCCTGTGAGGCTGAGGGAGGGGAAGAAAGATTAATGATATGGACACTTTCTACCAACGGGATGGGTGGGGCTAAAAATGCTAGGTCTGTGACAGGTGCAGTGGGCCAACACCAGGGAGAGGTGAGGCAGGGCCTGTAACCAGGGTCATCTGTTGGTATTGCTCTAATCACGGGTACTCAGATAAGCCTAGGCTGGTGCCTGACCCACTGTTGTAGCCAGGTCTGGGCCAAAACACAGATGTCACCTGCTCAGTTCCTTTCTAGTGCTCACGCTTAGGCAGAGTAAGTCTGTGTGCTGAGCACACAGGTCTCTGTCTAGAGGAGGTTGTACCACATTAGCTTGGTCTCACAGCTACTCAGCCTGAGTATTATTTCCATTGCAGCCCATGGGAAGACCTCACTTGCCTTTAGCTTGTCCTGGTTTCTGTTCTTTCTCACGACATTTTGAGAGTCTTTGTAGAGCAAGGTTGGACCAAAAGGATAAAAGGACAAAGTTATATACATGGATTTCCAAGTTGACTAAAAAAGTTGCTTTATGGGTAGTAAATATGGCCTGTATAATTAACTTCTCTTCTTTTTGCTACCTTCTGCCTTTATGCCTTGTGTCTGGAGTTGAATTTCAGTAATACAGGGTCATTTTTTTTTTTTTTTTTTTTTTTGAGACAGAGCCTCAAGCTGTCCCCCTGGGTAGAGTGCCGTGGCATTACAGCTCACAGCAACCTCCAACTCCTGGGCTTAGGTGATTCTCTTGCCTCCGCCTCCCAAGTAGCTGGGACCACAGGCGCCTGCCACAATGCCCGGCTATTTTTTGGTTGCAGCCGTCATTGTTGTTTGGCAGGTCCGGGCTGGGGATTTGAACCCGCCACCTTAGGTGTACGTGGCTGGCGCCTTAGCCGGTTGAGCTATAGGCGCCGAGCCAATACAGGGTCATTTTAAAGATTAAGTGTCAATGAATGACATTTAGCATACATCTCTGCTATTTCTGGGGAAAATGAGTTTTTGCTATTATATCTTTCATTAATATGAAAATTTTATATATCCCATTTATATTGTGAATACTATAACTTTATTGGTTTAGTCATTGATTAATTTATTTGATATCCATATTATTTTGTCCTTTCCTGGATGAACTTGGCATTTCAAAGGGGAATGAGACACAGGCACTTGGAAGATAGTAAAGGAGACGGGACTCAATGGAAAGAACACTGTAAGTTGTGGAAGTGAAGAAAAACTTGCTACAGTCTTTGGAACAGGGATGAGTGATTTCAAGTCTGCAGGGATTAGGAATGGCCAGTAAGAGAGGAATTCATGCAAAAGGTGACAAACAAATAGAAAATAGTAAGTATTGGTGAGGAAATGGAGAAATGAGAACCCTTGTGCCTTGTCGTTGGGAATGTAATATGGTGCAGCCATGATGGAACCAGTGGTTCCTCAAAAAATCAAAAATAGAATTACTGTATGATCCTTTAAGTATATGTGCTTCCAGATATATATCTAAAGGGATTTTTAATTCTTTGATGGGGTGAGAAGATCTGACTCATTGGGAGTTTTCCCGTGCATGTATTATTCACTTGCTCACTCACTCATTCATTTATTCAGCAAACGTGTATTGAGTGCTTGCTGTGTACTGGGCCCTGAGCTAGGTACAGCGATTAATAAAGTGCATAAGGCACCAAATCTGTCAACTTCATCCTTGCTAGACATTCCGTCTCCCCTCCCCCCCACAGAGGCACTAAGCTGCTACAGTGAAATACTCACAGTGGCTTCCTACTGACGCGAACAAACAGTAAGATTTGAGGTTGCTGGGAGGTGGAGCTCGACAGCATGGCGATGAAATGGAGAGAGATGCATAACAGAATATGAGCTAGAATTGAACACTGCAGGCCAGTGCTCTCTAAAGATCATTAAAAAGCAAAAAAAAAAAATTCCCATTTGAGGCTGCCAACCTCAGAGCTAAGTTATTTAGAATGGAAAAAATTGGCAAAGTCAGATGTACTCAACCCAAGGAGCCAATGTTTTGTGCATATTATGGCAAATGTAGTTTGAGAACTACCACCATAAAAATGTGAGCAATGTTAATGAGTGAGAAGGGTGGAGAGGCCATAAAATTTGAGCTAAAAGGACAGATGGGGCATGGCGGGGGGTGGTGAGAGTTAGTGTGGTCTGGTTGTTTGGGTGAAGAAGAGAACCAGGAATGCTTAGCCATGAGCTTAGCTCAGGTTTGGGGTGTGTGTGTATGTATGTTTACTATCATAGGAATTTTCATTCCATATATTTTTTTCCAATATCTGTTTGCCTCTCTTTTCAGTACACCTGCAAACACTTTCTCCGCTCATTTAAATATATTACTGAATACCAGCCACATACCAAGCACTGTGCTGGGCTCTTTTCCCACATTTATTTGGTTTCACATGCTCAGCAAATCCTGGGTTGGTATGATATCTGCGCCTCTGTCTGGTCGAATGAGAGCTGCAAACGTCTCCTCCTCTACTTCTTCCCCTACATCTTTCCTTCTAGTCCACTTCGAGATGTTTTCATTAAGGTGATTTCTTTTACTCACCTCTGTCATCTCAGCTGCTCTAGCTTTCTTCTTAACTTTGTTCTTTTCTCGATTCCCTCTCCACCTGCCCATTCCCTTGCATCCCCATGAGGCCTTCTCAGGCCTATTTCCTTGTAAAAATCTTTGTCTTGTGTTTTTCAGCTACAGCTCTGTGTCTCTTTTCCGTCTTACTCAATTCTCAGAAGGATGGCTTCCACTCATTTCATGTTCCTTCTACGCTTTCATCTGCAGGGTTTGGCTCATGCCCTTACCCTTCTAATAAAACTCCTTGCTAAGAGTCCTCCTTGTCAGATCCAAATTCCCTTTCTCAGTCCTTGTTTTACTGTAATTCCCTCCTGTATTTGGCAATATTGCTCATTCTCTTCTTGAAGCCTTCTAGTTTTTAAATGCTTTTTACTTACCAGTTTATCGGCTCTCCTAGAACTTTCTTGCTGTTCTTTTTCAGCTTCTTTTCTGCGGTAGGCTCTGCCATGAAATTGTTGGTGGGGCTTGGCGCCTGTAGCTCAGCAGCTAGGGTGCCAATCACGCACAACAGAGCTGGCGGGTGTCTCAAAGAAATCATTGGTGGAGCCATCTGTGCTCTTCTGTTCTTCTCGTTCTACATTTTTTTGTTTTGTTTTGTTTTTGAGACAGACTCTCAAGCTGTCGCCCTGGATAGAATGCCCTGGTGTCATACCTCACAACAACCTCCAGCTCTTGTGCTCAAGTGATCCTCTTGCCTCAGATTTTCTATTTTTAGTAGAGATGGGGGTCTCACTCTGGCTCAGGCTGGTCTTGAACCTGTGAGCTCAAGCAATTTACCCGCCTCAGTCTCCCAGAGTGCTAGGATTACAGGCATGAGCCACCACGCCTGGCTCATTCTACATGTTCTTAAAGAGGAGTATTGAATATCGAAGAACAGTATCCTCAAATTTCAGAATAAAGTTTACACAAACTGGCATCCAGGGTTATATGGTAACGATGACATATAAGTTTGAATGGTTATGTTTTTCAACACGTGTTCTCTTGTGTTCATCTGGGTTCCAGATGCTCCAGCTGTTTTATGCTTTGTTTCCTAAAGACCTTTAGTGTGGTCTAGAATGGGAATAAGCCTTGGTTTCCAAGGGTTCTGAATTAATAGTAAATTCCTGAGAAAATGAGCGAGTCTATTGGCAACCAGCAAATTCCTTCCTGCCATTTTCTAGGTAATATATTCTGGTGTAGGCAGTCTGTTTTTTAAGGAAGTTTGCAATAAACAATTTCCCCTCAAGGTTACTATAACAGGCAACACCTTTTGCTGTAACAGACGGCAAAAGGTAATGAAAGATTAGTTTCTGTTATGATTCATTATTTCAGAATGTTAGCATACCGTGGATCTGCGGCTGCTCTGGAGTCTCTCACTGTCATGCACTGGGAGTGCATGTTTTGCTTTTCTGATGTTAATGATGGTAATGAATTCAATCCCTTTTTTTTTCCAGGTCAAATTCAGATAATCGACGCCAGGGTGGCAGAGAGAGATTGGCTAGTGCCGGTGACAAGGGAAGCCTGGCCATGGAGTCTGCCAAGGAGACTCGCTACTGCGCGGTGTGCAATGACTATGCCTCCGGCTATCACTATGGAGTCTGGTCCTGTGAGGGCTGTAAGGCCTTCTTCAAGAGAAGTATTCAAGGTAATAGTGTGTTGAAAACAACTTATAATATTTTTGATCCTAAGAGCAGAAGCAACTGAGGAAGACATGAGCAGTGTGCTCCGTCCACTAGTATCATTGTTAGAAATGTGGAGAAAAGACAGGCGTTCAGGAGAGGGAGTTGACAGATGCCAGGGCAGCTGTGCTGAGTAACTGTCCTTCCTTCATTTGGCAAGAACCAGGTAGTCTTGAGCAACTCGATAGGGGGATTTCAGTAGCTGGGTCTTTAAGGAAAAAGGAAAGGTTGTCTATGCTCTGTTTGGGGGATGGCAAATGGACATTTATGTTTTGCTTATGTGATATTGATTGTCCCTGCATAATTATCTCTCTGCCTTGGCCTTGCCCATGCAAATGTTCTGTTCTAATGTTTGCTCCAAGACCAATTCTAATGTGACTTGTTCCCTTTTCCCTCTCTTCTGTATCTTTCTTGTCTCAATGGATGACACGACCTTTTGCTAAAATAAGAAGACTCAATGTCTGGTGACTTGTAATGCGGGAAGTACCATCTGTACCTGACAGATCCGAAGGATCCACCTGTGACATCCCCTTTCCCCACCTGCCTCCACTCTTGTCTTGTACATAGTTTATCAATTGCAGCTTCTCTGATAGATTTTCAGCTACATTTAATTTCTACACTGGGAGTATCTGTCTTCTTGCAATTTGTAGGGATTCCCTGGGGAAACAGCAACCATTTTTACTACCTAAGATATCTGTCATGAATAGAGAGGTCTGATGGAGTTTAGGCCAGCTGAATTAATTTTTTTTTTTTTTTGGTCTTAAGTATGGGGCATTCTCCCCTCTTATTCTTTTACATTTTTAGCTTAAGAAAGGTTAGTTTATAAATACTAAGAGTATTTCTGACAGTTTTCATGTGAATCCCTCTGTGGGGAGTCAGACTTAAGTAACTTGAAAACCAGACTCTGGTAAATTAATACACAGATTCTCATGGACTTTTTGTTACAGATCGTCACTGCCCTGATGCGAGATAAAAGCTGGGGGATGGTACAGACTATTTATTTTTCTTTCCATTGCCAGTGATATATTTTTTTCAAAGCTGTTTATATCTTAGTCAAGTGACATGTGAAATCAATGTGGTCCGTTTTAAAAGTATTTTCTTTGACACTTATTGTTTTCAACATCTTTTAGAACTCTGATGTGAGCCTTGAACTTTTTTTGTTGGTAGTTTTATAAAATGAATGATGTTCTTGGTAGTAAATCTTTGCATGTGTGTACACATAAATTCTAAACATAAATGAATGTGTTTGTTATTCATTTACTAAATAGATATAATAAATAAACATATATGCACACAGACTAATTTTACTAGCTGATACTATCTTAAATCAGAAAAAAAGACACTTATCTTTTGATTTAGGTTATAGAAGCCCTTAAAGGCCTCCGACAGCTATCTTAATTTGTGGTTTTTCTGTTAATTTGATTTTTGTGTAATCTAAAATACCATTGTTTTCAATAGGCCTTTAATCTGATAGTGAAAAAACATCTGACAGAGGTATGGTTAGCAGAGAGGAACTACATACTTGGACAAATTCATCTGTGACTGAATTTTCTCATTAGTCACAGTGATTTAGAGCAGTGGTTAGTGGAGATGTTCTGCTAACGGCCAGGCTGTAATCATTTGGACTCTGCAAACCATACAATTTCTGCTGTAGCTACTCAACTCTGACATTGTAGCTTGAAAGGAGCCATATTTGTTATGTGTCTAAATGGGAGTGGTTATGTGAATAAAACTTTATTTATAAAAACAAGTAACTGACCAGAACTGGCCTATGGATCATAATTTACTAGCCCTTGACTCAGTATTTATTTTATTTTACCTATTTTAGATACATTATTTGTAGAAAGGAAATAGATGGTTTCTAAATCTAAAGTTTTGAGTATGCATGTTTTATTGAGAACTTACTCTGTAACTGAGTAGGTGTTCTGAGAGAAGTAAATAAATGTGTATATAAGACATAATCCATAATCCCACAGAATTTGTAATTTATTTGGGAAATTTATAGGAGGAAGTAAAGGTACTGGCTCTCATGATAAAGTTAGAAAGTAAGTCAGTATAGATAAATTGCTGCCTTATGACAACTATAAGGGAAACAACAGATCAATATAAGAAAAGAAAATATTAACAGCTAAATGTAAAATTATGAAGATTGAAAATAGAAATGATCTTCTTCCAAAAAAAGAGTAATGATATTTACACAAATTATTTTCATCATATTTGTTCAGCATTTAGGACCATACTACATAAATGTCAACATATTTTAGTATTATTCCTTATCATTAAAAGCAGAAAACAGAATCAATGAAGAAAATGTGAACTTATAAAAATAGATACTTGATTGGCACGGCATTATCTCAAGTTCAAATATTTAAAAAAAATTCTGTTTACTCTTTGATAGTTAGAAAAATATTTATTTCCTTATCTCCATCTTGTATACATAGGCCAGATAGTAGGATTTCATTGAAATTGTGTCAAATAAAAAGTGATTTCTACCTGGGTTCAGATACTTTGTTGTATCATGGTGTGAAGTCACTTCTAAAGGATTTCTTAAATGGGATGAATATTGAGTTCAAGGTTCTGGAAGAAGCCTAGAAACAAGGTGGAGCTATTACCTTTTGGAGATAGAGGAGAACCTTAAAATTATTAAGTTCATTCATCCATTCATTCATTTATTCATTGAATACCTCTATGAAGCAAAGCCCCCATGCAAAGCTCTGGAGATGTAACAATAGTAAAGATACGGTCCTTGCCTTCATAAGGCCTATGAGGTACTAGGAGAGATGAACAAATAAGCCAAAAATTAAATTATAGTATAAAGATGGAAGCGAATTATAGGAGCCAAACTTCACTCGGTCCTGGTAGGAGGTGATTCAGATTCTGAGTTTTCCTGATTTCATTTGGAGGATGAGTCAGGCAGGTAAGTCAGGTGAAGAAAGAGGGGAAGAGTGTTCATCCATAGGCATGAGTGCATGAGAGAGGGCCAGGAGGAAACACAGAGCGTAGGGAGTTCTGTGCATAAAAATTAACACAATTAATTTACTATTAGAGTAAACAAACACATTTCTGGGCCATGTATTTAATCTTAGACTGTGTAACAACAAAGCACTTAATTTCCTCTTTAAAGTCACTTTCATGATTTTTTTCACACATATCAAAGGAAAATGCCAGAGGCAGTTTAAGGATTCCTAGTCCTATTTCCTCATCATAGTCTTGAGAACTTGAAACTAAAAGTTTTTGCTGAGTGTCTGTGGCTCTTTATAAATCACACTGCCCCTCAAGCACATTTAAGGACAGTGAAGGGTCTGACACGTAGGTGGGAAGTTCTGAAGATGCTGCAGCTCTCATGGTTTTCCTCATCACTTAAGGAGAGAGGTAGAAATGCGTGTACATCAGATTATTCTAGTGTTCTAAGTGTTTTGGTTGAAGAGGAAAAGTGTTTGACTTGAAAGCATACAGATTTTCATCCACCACTTAGTGTACAAACTTGATTACTTAAGCGATTGAGTAATAGCTTCCAGGGGAATATATACATATATTTTAAAGCAAAGTGAATAATACTATTTAAGTCAGAGGGGTGACATTGGATAGTTTATGAATTTTTTAATCATTTTAGGCGTAGAAATAACGTTTCTTAAGATAGGTTTTAGACAGATTCTGGGATGAGTTGTATGAGCAGGTCTGGCTATGAGTTTATCAGCCTGGTATTGCCTTGGAGTATTATTCCAAGGGAAAAGCACTGAGCTCACTGCTTGTCATTACTGTTACTATACATCATTATTTCAGAAGGTCATTGGGCACAGTAGGGGTCTCAGGCTAGCTACATGTCACTAGCACATGGTTTTCATATTCTGTCTATAAGGTGTTTACAGAAGTAGCTTAACATTACATCAGATAGACATGGCCAAAGCAGGTGCTGGCTTACAGGTTTTCTAAAATTAGAAGGACATGGTATCAGTGTCAAGGTGGAGTCTTATTCTGGTTCAGTGCAGTGAGGACCTAACGTTCCACAAGGATAACTAAGAATTTTATCCACTGGGCTTTAGAAAGCTCCAAGGGTGAGACAGTCCAGCACCCTGGATAGCTCCTTAAATAGCAGTTGAGGATAGGCAGACATTTATTTTCTAAAGATCCTCAGGCCTCTTTAGCTGGCTTCCTCTACTTTGTAAGCAATATTAAAGTAGAACCTGGTCCTTTGGAACTTGGGGACGCACTCCTGTTCACTGAAGAGGGATTAGTTTTCACACTTAGTTTCACATAGGATCCATCAGTCACATTCTGAAGTGATGTCTGCATGGTGTCCGTGTCTAGAGAAGGTTGGAGACTGGGGTAGAAGTGGAGGCTACTCTCTCTTCATTTGGGGTCTTTCAAAGGTAAGCTTGAGATGCTGACAATTTGTGCACATAAAACATTAAATATTTGGTCTCCATATCTCCAGGTTTGTACCTTTATGGTCCAGTTCCATGCAAAAGACCTAGAAGATCTTTTAGGTGAATTAATTGTATCCTGTGGTCTTGAGCTTAAAACTCTCAATGTACTTATAATAAAGTTTCTTTTCTATGGCTTACAACATTTGATGTATTCTTATTCCTGTTTACGTCTCCACTATTCACGGTAATCCAGCCATATTGGCCCTCTTTCCTTTCCTCCAACACACCAACATGTCCCTTCCTGGGGACCTCAGTAAAGGTAGTTCTTTCTCTCCCTTTGCTTGGGATTCCCTTTATTTGGCCAGCTTCAGATTTCTGCCCCAAGTTACCTTCTCAGAGAGGTCTCCTCCAATTACCCTATCAAAGGTAATCTAATAAACCATTGTTTCTGCTTTTTTTTTTATAATCCCCTAATCCTGTCTTATTTTTCTTTAAAGCCCTCAAATCCTTATGAAGTTTTCCTCTTTATTCATTGCTTATTGTTTGTCCGTACCAGGTATCACTTCCCCGCATTCCAACCCAAACCTGGATGTGAACTT